TTGTTAAAAATTGGCACCGAAAAAAAACTGGCGGTTTAACCCCGGCCGACCCTAATTTAAAAAATTACAGGTGCTCGTACAGCAGCAGGTGACAATAACAAAAACGTAAATCTTGATGACATTAATAAACCTCCGCTCCCGGGATTTATCCGTAAAGATGGCAATGAAGAAAAGGTAAGCCAAAGTATATTGAATTAACAGTTTGGTTGGATAATGTAGTTAGGCTGCAAATGTTATTTCCGCATTAACATGTGGTTTACATTCGCTTCTCTTCAAAATGCCAACGCATTTTTGCAAAAAAAGAATATTCTGAAACTGCTATCTTTCGCATGCTCTTAACTTCCGGCTGCTTCATGTCAGCCTATGAAAAGAAGTTTATTACATGGTGTTTTAAAGAATTTATTTTGAAAATAACAGGTACACTGTGGCCAGAATATTTGGATTTGTAAGATGACTTATGACAATGCCGTATTTAATGCACGTTCAGACGGGATGTTCGTAAAAAATATGGCTCTCGCTATTTTTGGGGATAAGGAACTGAAAGAATCGAGCGTAACAGGTGCACCATCCAATCGCACCAAGAGTGATCCGAAGCCCTCGCTGAATCCCACAAAGGCACTTGCTGTTCGCGGTAAGTATCCATTTTTATATTGCATTAATAATCAAGTTAATTTAATCGTTCATCTCTACGTGACATCGGCTTAGGGGAGCACTTTTTATTGACTTGTAGTCTTAAAAATTAATGATGCCACGAAACTTTTGTGGAAGCAATAAAAGAAAAGTTGCCAAATGTTCGGAAACAAATTACTTTTTTAATTAATATATTTACACGGGCTTTTTATATTTATTTATATATTTACACGGACGTTTAAAATATTGAATTACTATCCTTTTCTAAAAAGGAGATGTGAAGTTTATTGTTGTCGCTTTTCCGCGATGCCGATTAGTTCTCTTGCTGCGCTTACTTCATTTGCAGCTGTCATTGTATATTTTGACAGTTGTGTATAATAGGGTTAATAGTGAAATGTTAAAGATAAATAGCACGCGCGTAGCGCGCGTATGTAGTGTCTAGTGTATTTAAATAACGTGTAGAAAAGTTATTTTTTTAAACACCACCGAACAACCACTCTCGTGTGATTTCCATAGCGCTATTTTTATGTCGTACTCACGCGATCACGTATTTTTTAGCCTTTTCTTAGGGTGACCTGCATGTAGGTCACACCCCAAATCGTTAATCCAATGTTTTAAAAGGCATACATTTTTCTTAAAAAATTTTAAACATGATTGATGCACTTCGTAAAATTTAGCGTTTACCCCAAGATATATACCCCCCAAAAAATAATTTAATTATACTTTTTGTTACTGTCGGTTGGTGTTCCATATGATATAACCTTCATAGAAGTAAATATATTTTACAGATATATTCAGGTACTTTTTGGAGTCATATCGTCGCTATGATAAGGACAAGATTGAAGAGTTGGTAGGGGATTACCAAACGTTTATAAGACAAAAAATCTCTGACATGAACAGAGTCACCAAACGCGTCGTGAAGACGACAAGTAAGTTAATAAATTTATAATTTTTTGTAGACAGCAATAGGACGAGCTAACCACGACTTACTCCCAAGTCATGATTTAAGCTTATTCTAAAATTGCATAAACGTAGGGTTGTAGGATTAGGAGTAGTGGAGTAGTAGTGGAGTAGTAGTGGAGTAGGAGTAGTAGGATGTTGTACAACGGATCAATCTACAATAGAGTAAAGATACCGTTATAAACTTGATTACAGCAACCTGCAAACAAAGTGCAGTTTTTTGTTCCAAACTTGGAGCAGTACTTTCTTCGATAAAAACAATAAAAACAAAAAACACTACAATAAAAAAAAGAATTTCCAACTTGAGATCTTGAGAGTTGTTTTCACGTGTATTTCGATAAAAAGAATGATGGCGGCGTGGTCACGTGAATAACAGCACTCTGGTTAGTTGGCTCGTATGTTTACATCTGGCGTAGTCGTGAAAGATGAAGTTCAACCATCTTCCACAACACGCTCTACAACCGGAAGTACCGCTTTACAACCACGCCTTACAAAACTCTTACAACTATTTACGACCACGTTTATGCAATTATAGAATAGCCTTTATTTCCAGTAAAAATTTAGTTTAAAAATTTTAAATTTGGAAACAATATAAAAAGTAAGTTAAAGGCTTATGTGTGTTGTAGACAAAAAAGGACCAAAAAATAAGAGCGCACCTCCAGATAACTGTGACAAAAATCGTAGCAACAGCAACAGCAGCAGCAGCAGCAGCAACAGCAGCAGTAGCAGTTCTAGCAGTGACAACAGCGATGACAACAGCGATGACTGATTTGTCATTTTCCCCTTTTTCCCTTTTTTTCCCCTTTTTCTATATTAGTAGAATATATATATTCTACCTATATAGAAATTTAATCGCGGTTATATATATATGATATATCGTATAATAAAGATGATCATTCGAGATATCATTTGATATTGTTATACGATACTATTTGTCCCACGTTACATTTCTTTTTTTTTACCGATAATATATCGTACTCACATTTCTTTACTGCTGTGTACTCGGACTTGCCGCTATCATCGGTTACGCTTCTTTATAAGATTTGTGTTTCATTATTATTTCGCTGAACTAATCGAACTTCGTGAGCGGCTGTCATAGCATATTTTGACAGTTGTGTGTAATATTAAAGCTAAATAGCGCGCGCGAAACGCGCGTCTGTGATGTCTAGTGAAAAAAAAAAAAACGCTTGCTTAGTTATAATACGCTAATCATTGTCTAAAATATTAAAAGAATTATTTTTTTAGCTGAAGCGTTTGCTGAAAAACGATAACAATTTTGCGCGATAACAGTGTCGAAAAGAGCTGTATTATTTTGCTTCAGTTTGACTCGGTTCAGTGACGTTTTAGAGAATACGCGCCCCTTTAATTCGAACGAGCGGAAATATCTTGTTGCTCCTCGAGATACATTGTCAGTGATCAAGCGCAACTTAATTCCGTTAATCGTTAGCACGCTATTTACTGTGCTATACCGCATATATTGACCTTCAGCGTTGATTACTTGATGTCATGATGATTATGTGCTTTACGGAAAATATCAATTGTAAATGCCTACTTGCTTATTAATAGAAACTGTTGACACGTCCATCGCATCACGACGCACGAGTGCTTTAATAAATAATAATGTGAATACGTGGATACCCCATAATGTAAATTGAGCAATAAAGAAGCGATTCTGGTCGGTTTTCTCGCGATCATAAAGTGTCCCAAGGTCGCATTATAACAGCTGCGATTCAATTCTCTTATGTAAGCGAGATTTGACTTTGAAGAATGCAAAATAATTCGAATCTAAATCGCCGTGAGTTTATTTTTAAGTTTAGTAAAAAGTATTACATATAAAAGTTTCGAGTCATGTTATCCTCGCAAATTATCTGTAATTTTTATGCGCTTTTTTACGATGTCTGCAAAAATCGTACTTTTGATCGTACTTTTTCGACTCGGAGTCGGGTCGAGTCAGCAAATCGAATACGCTATAAGTGATTTTCGTATAAAAATTATTAAATGTATTTGACAATTTAACAATTTATTTATCACGATAGAATAAATAGATATTACAAAATCATTAAACAGTAATGCGTATTTATTTAAAAATTATTATAATATTGTTAAAAATTACACTGAAAAAAAAATTTATTACAATTAACGAAATTTGACTTGTTTCAAGTAAATGATTTCGTTCAATAGTACTAAAGAAATATTTATTTGAATCAAGATACAATTTTTCTTTGGAACAAATAAATATTTCCTAGAAAATGTTAGCCGTTTTGTCGGCTAAGAGGGATCGGGCTCCGTTCGCGATATGAAGGATGAAGGAAGGCGTTATATTGAACCACTTTAATAAATTGAGTTGCCTTACACGAGTGTCCTTATTACAAGTTCCACTTCGCGTTTCGTTTATAGATAACTCGCAGGTGACTCGACGCGACAGCTTGATGGTTTCAGACCGACTGCCTGATCGTTCGATTCGGCGGTCTTACATCGGTTTCCAGTTGCTACCTCGGGATCGCCCGCGGTAGCATTAACCTCTATGGTCAGCGCTCGGCGCTGACCTTCGCGTCAGCGATATTGGTCCTCGTGGATGGACCTTGCTCTCTACGTTTCGTCGCTGGGGTCGAGTTTCTTTAACGCTTGGCAACTCGGTTGCCAAGGGCGTTGTGCGCTCACAACACCCTTCCCCCCGCGGAAAAAGAAAAACGTAGTTTTTCGTTTATTTATGCGTCTTCTTTTTCCCTGAGAGGTTACAATCTGATTTTCTTATGTGCTATTTTTACATGATTGTTTTTTTTTTTGTGTTACAAAGTTTTAATGGCCCCTTCTTTTTTTTTTATTACATAAATGATTACGGCTATGATACTTATTACTATTACAATTGTGACCGTGGAGCCTATGGAATATATAATATTTTTATTCGTGAATATGCTGGGTTGGTTATTTTCCATCTCCTTTTGGATTTCTTCTAAACTTAAACTTATTTTCATTAATTCTGTTGGATCTTTGATTATTGGTTCCAGTTTTATTTCTTTATCAGATTCTATTTTATTATTTACTGTTATACTTTTTTCTATGATGCCTGTTATATTAAGCTCTGGTAAATACATTTTTACATATTTATTGTAAACTCGATTTGTTGTCTCTAAATATATATTTGGTGTAGTTAGTTTACAACTGTCGCGCAATGTTATTTTTCCGGTTTTCTCTATTTTTATTTTAATTTCCGGCAATTCGTTACATTGAATTACTATGTCAATTGTCTTTGGGGTGGAAAATAACCATGTCTGAGGCTCGGATACTGCAATCCAGAATGTTACATTTGATATAATGTGACGTTGCTTACGATTTTCTATGTGTGGACGTTTTTACAAAGAGCTGTATTTCGGTCGGTGCATTCGCCGTTATAAAATAGACAGGGAGGTTCTGAGCGCAGGTGAACTTAGTATTTTCTTGTGTACATTTATTTAAATCGTTTTCCTTTAATATTACATAGTTGTGGTTTTCTCGATTTATCCCTAATAGGGTGTGAGAGGGTTCTAGGAAGGTGAAAACGTTGTGGCTATTGTGTACTGGTACAGGTGTGATCTTTATTATTTCATACATTGGATACGCTATTAATGGGAACGCTAGGATAGTGTATATGTTCGAATTATCATAATACGCGTTTACATCTAGATATTTTTGGATAGAGTTCCAGTTTTCGGCTTGTATTTTAAATGGGAAGTTTAATCTTCTATCTATATGTGAGGTCGCTTCTCTTAGTTCTACGATTATTTTTTCGGTTGGGAGTACACGCGTTAATAAAATATTGTGTTTTGCGTGAGTCAGGTAATCTGTAATGTCATTTATGTCTGTCGTGAGGTCATTTAAAATAGCAGTTAATACTAGTAGTTGTTCGTCTATTCCCTCTCGGTATATGAGCTGTTCCTCTAGTTTTCTCGTAACGTTAGCCATTAAATTTTCATTATATGACCGGGCGGAGGGAGGTCTCCCTCGTGCGGCGGAATAATTCTTAGGTAAGTACTGTTAACTTTCGTCTCTCTCTCTTTTTTTTTTTTTTTTTTTGCTTATCCTGCTTTTGCTTTGCCGTGTGTGCTTTATTCTTCGACTAGCGCTTTCAATCGGTTCGCGTGAACACGTAGCATCTTTCGCTTGATTTTAATTGTGTAGTTTACGTCGTTATGCTTTTCTAAGATAACATATGGTCCTACCCATTGCGAGTCGAGCTTCTTTGAGCGTCCTCGTCGTATTGTTTCATCGTACAGTAGCACTTTATCGCCTACTTTAAAAGTTGCTTTATTGATCTTTTTATCGAACTGTAATTTCGATTTTGCTTTTTCATCTTTCGTATTTTCCCTCGCGACTTGATTCGTTGCGCGGATCCGTTCGCGTAGTTCTTTTGCGTAATCGTCATACGAATATGTTAGTTTCGGCGGTTTTGTTAGGGCCGTTGGTAGGTCAGGTCGGTGCCCGTAAACTAATTCGAATGGCGTGAAACCGGTAGTAGAGTGTGGCGTAGTGTTATACGTAAACATCGCGTAAGGGAGCCATTCGTCCCAATCAGTTTGATCTTCGTTAATATAATGCCTCAAGTATTCGGCTAGAGTACGGTGCGATCTTTCCAATGCCCCGTTACTCTCAGGGTGATACGCCGTTGTTTGTATCTTCTCAATTTTCAATAGTTTGCACGTGTTCTTGAATATTTCGCTTGTAAAGTTCGTGCCCTGATCTGTGAGAATCTTTTCTGGAATTCCGTGTTCTAACACGATTTTTGTTACGAATACTTTGGCGATGGTCCTGGCTTCTTGATTTTCGATCGGTATCGCCTTACTAAATTTCGTTAAATTATCCTGAAACGTCAGAATATATTTGTTTCCTTGATTTGTGACCGTAAGCGGACCGACGATGTCGAGGGCGCATTTTTCAAACGGTCGTTCCGGCGTGTCTGTGATTACCATTGGCATCTTCGTTTTTCTACTTAGCTTGTTTTTTTGGCAGTGTTCGCATCTGCCTATGTAATTTTCGACATCCCTCGTTATACCTTTCCAATCGTGTTGTAGTCGGATTCGGTCTAACGTTCGTACGACTCCTTGGTGCCCTCCGATAGGTGAGTCGTGATACTCATATAATATCTGTTTCTTTTCCTCCTCCGAGTATTCTCGAGGTGTATCTTCTTCTTCTTGCTGTGTCACATGCACAGCTGACGCTTCTGTTATCGGGTTTCTACTCAATGCGTCGGCGTTCAGATTACTCTTGCCGGACTTGTGTATGATTTCATAATCGTACTCTTCTAATTTAAGCCTCCATCTAATTAGTCTTGAACCGGGGTCGGTGACATTGAACAGCCAGATCAATGGCTTATGATCAGTTATTATTTTGAATCTGACGCCATAAAGATAGGGTCGAAAATGCTTGACTGCCCATACGCTAGCAGTTCTTTTTCCGTTGTGTTGTAATTCTGTTCCGCTTTACATAGTACTCGGCTGGCGTACGCTATCGGTCGGTCTTCGCCGACTGTTCCCTGTGATAGGACGGCTCCGATTGCGAAATCGGACGCGTCGGTCGTCACTATAAATTCTTTATTAAAGTCGGGATAATTCAACACTGGCGCGGTTGTTAATTTATTCTTTAATAATTCAAACGCGTTCTGTTGCTCTACTGACCAAGTGAACTTTTCTCCTTTTCTGGTGAGCTTGGTCAATGGCTTAGCTATCTTCGAAAAATTTTTTATGAATTTTCGATAGTACCCGGCTAGGCCTATAAATGACTGTATATCTTTCACTCTTTTAGGGGTCGGAAATTCTTTGACGGCTATTAATTTCGACGGATCCGGCGAGATCCCTTTTTCAGAAATCACGTGACCC